AAGACAGAATAAATCATTCAGAAAATGAATTACAAATGTGCATTTCTTTTGATTTAATTTCACGCATAGCACATTGGTGCTTAATCACAGCTGGACTGAGACAGAATAACAGTGTTTTACATGAATGATAAGGAGCTTGTGCAGTGCACATTCTCTACAGTATATGGCTGCAGTGGCTAATCTATATACTGACAAAGACGAATTTGGGTGGTGAGTGTTTAAGCTTCATGTCTCTAATTTATCATGAAATGACATCAACGCATTTTTAACACGGAGCAAGGGCTTACACACGGAGGGAGCAGGGATGGAGATGGGGATTTATTTGTGTATACTTCAACATTTTTAAAAAGTGGTTATTAATTGAAGGAAATCTCTAACATAGATCACTCAGAATAAGACCTTTTTAATACATTTTTATAGGCTCTGTCTGCTTTCAAATGGAGAATCAGTAACTCTTGATCTTCTTAATATTCTTAAAGCAGGGCTGAGCCAGATTGACACAAAGCTAAGCCCTCCACTGGGTGATGTGTTCCAGGAGCTCCAGCCAAACCTCGTTTAAGCAGACCCCAATCAGTTACAGATTAGACGTGTGGAAGGGAGCAGCCACGCAACACGGCATGCTACCTAGACACATTTCTCTGGATAAATTGACCTCTACTCTTTGGCAAACAGAACTTTTACCCATATCAGGGTCAGCTAAGGTCAGGCCTGAGGCCTCATTCATCCATTGTCTGATCCTGTCTCATCAGCTGCTTTGAGCATCTTTCATGCTTTTCTTTACACTGCCTCTATTGAATCTTTAATTTAATATCTGCCTATAGCCTACACCCTTTCCCCTGAAGTCTTGGATATGAATCAGATATTTACTTTGATTGTGCCTTTTTCTGCATTTCTTTGAGAACAATAAGACATTTTAGAGACAACATAATAATATGTGTAAACAAGAATTGGAAACTGTGAATTTCCTTGATTTGTCTTCAATTTAAAATCATACCCACATTGTCCTCCCGCCATCTGAAGTGATAAACACTAACATTCACCTAGAATCACATTCTTGCCGATGCTAATGTTGGACTGTTTAGACAATTACATTACACAGTACTGTCCACATGAGCTGATTTACTGGGCCTGTACATCATTGTCACTGAATAAACAACTCAAGGAGCTTACAAACAGACTGAGGGTGATTGACCCATTATGGTGAAGTTTATTCCAATGTAATTGTATGTTTATGAGTGTGTGCTCCATTTGTCAAGTGTGCACTTGTAAAGAAAGAGGAAGAATGAAACTTCCCTCTTCTTTTGTTTACTTGATCTGTGAGATGTTCCAAAAACTGCCTCAAGTCATCAAATGTCTGGTGGGATTAAAAAACTGACGGAATGTCGGATTAAAAAACTTTTTATACTTGTGAAGTGTTGAATTGCGATAATACTTAACATGGCAGCCCACAAATTACACTGTAATTGTAAGGGAAACCAATAAAATACTTAAAATTCTGTTTAATTGTATGTGACATGAAAATTGTTTTTTTATCTAATCTTGTCTGGCTTCACCACCGCAATTTATATAAGTTTAAGGGGTATTTTTGTGTGAGTGTGCTCAGCCTGTGTGTCCTTTTATACAAAGACGAATTCCTGCATATTTTCCATTCGTGAAATATCTGTATGAAAGAAAACAGGTTCCTTTGTTATGTTATGAATTATTGGCATGCAGGGTAAAATAAAAAGTCCATAATAAACATGCAAATACATACATTTGTTCCATAAGAGTAAGTAGACTTCACCACAGTCATAGAAATAACATTAGAGCAGGTCTTTTCCACAAAGGAAACGAGTTAAAGGTCTTGTCATACCTCCAGTCTAAACTTCCTGGGCCATGCTGTCACTCATACCAGAGAGACACTCGAGGTTTCTGACAACTGTACTGCACACCACCAGCACCACCGCTACCAAGCTGCCACAGTTAAATTAGTCTGTCCTCTGTTTTACCCCAGGCAAGAGATGTGCCCCTGCATGCAAACACAACGTTAACATGCTGACAAAGTCTGATGGGAAGCAGCTCACACAGACACACAAAGCTGCCCATGCTTCAAAGCTTTTTCCTTCGATGCTCTCGTAAATCCCTCCTCCAACCTGCAAAATTAAGTTTTCCTGAAAATACATTTCATGACAAAACTCCCCCCCCCACACCAATCACACGCACACTCACATACAAAGACTTCCACCACGAGGGGGACACTGCCAGAAATCTACAAGCCTTTCATAAGTGACAGCTGGAGGGGAAGAAAATATCATTACCTCACTCAGAGAGTACTGTGATATACCATGCTGTACTCTACTATTAGGTGGCAGAACAGAGCTATGACATCTGAATGTTATTTCTTTGCTGGCGAATGGGCTGGTTGCTGTCTGGGGTCATTATTTAGTTTAATTATCACAGACATGTTGTCTCTGAGTGGGTCGTGTTTGGCTCCACTGGGGCTCTGAGGGAGATGCAGCTCTCTCCACAGCTTCCAGCTGTGTGGCGTGTCCTCCTTTAGGGAAATAGCTCAAATCTTGGGAGGATCCATTTCTGTGGTTTCCATTATGGTCCAAACATCAACAAATATGTGGATGTGCATGCTAAAACTTGGTGCTGAATCTTCTGCTTTTGGAATTTTCCATCAATCTTCCAGATAAACCAGCGTGCTGTCTCTCGCGGTGCCCCAGAACAGACCAGCTGGAACGCACCAGTGATATGTTCATGTGTGTACATGTCTCCAGCAGAAGCCTACTGGGCGTAGTGAAGCATCAGCCCGGTGTATTGTCACTAGAGTAAAATAAATGACCCTATGCTCCATTTCACATTTCCCAAGCCTCTTGATAGGAGGGAATACACCGATGCCTCTTCCCACAGCGGCAGTAAAGGATGCAGCGGCAGTAAAAGATGATGAGTGTCTGAGGAAAAGAGTCTAATGCACTGTGTGCAAACATGTGATCTTATATATTCACTCAGCTGCCTGCCAGATGACTCCTATTCCACACCTTTCTTTTGATGAGTCAATGTTGGGGTAAGGTGATTAAAAACAGACACAGATTACAGACAAGGAGTAATCACACTCGATTGAAACTCTTTTATTAGATTATATATATTATGGTGACACCCATACTCATTGAGTGTACTATATTGTAGATGTTTTGATATTGCGGTGTGTATTAGGTGTACTACCCCTCTACAAAAGGAGCTCCCAAAAGATAATAGAATTAAACTGTTGTATTAGTGATGACTGTAACTTTTACCAAAACTTCTGATTCAAACTGAATCAGCTTTACTTTAATCTTCAGAAACAAAAAGTCCCCAAAGTACTGGAATAGTTTCAGTGCAATAAAAACAGCAGGGTTATTAACTTCTAATCCCTGTATTCTCGCTCTCCCACTCTGTCACTCATGTGTCAGTTTTTCCATCGAGTGTAGTGGTCCTTTGTGTGGGTGTCAGGGCGGACCTTCTCACTCATCCATGGCCTTGGCTTGGAGTCAAAGTGGAAGCTGCTATTTTCCATCGGGCAGAGTGGGATGTTGGAGTTGAACAGTATCGAAAGAGGTCCCTTCAGCCACTGGAGGGCAGTCATGCTCTATGTTACAGGTATGACTGAGATGCCAAAGTGCAGACCTTTGTTTATGGAGGCAGATGGGGAAGAGCTCTGACAAAGCATTACTTTTCTTAGATGATGACCTGATCAAAGTGTGTACTGGATGCTGTAGTTTTGCATTGATCTCAGTCTCTCTGTTTCTGCTCAAGCATTTTCTGCATTATAGGGCTAAACAATACTGCCAAAATCTAATCTAATATTTTAATAATGTTGTTGTAGTATGGTATGGTATAGTACACACACTTGTGTTCACCCTGTCATATAAAAGTTATGCAATGTCAGACCATGGTCTAGAGGAGGGTCACAAAGGGTGTGTGTGTGTGTGTTGTCTGAGCTGACACTGTCAGCACGAGAACCTCCCAATAATGTTCCCTTTGAAGTGTCTGAGGAAGTTAAGACTGAAACTCATGAGCTCCCACAGCAGACGTTGAATTGACTAGACAGGTCAAGGTCAAAGCCCAGGTGAGACATCTGCTCGCTGACCTGTGACCTTGGATCAAAGGTGCAATGTGCAAACAGAAGCTCTATTGTGATAAAAAAAAACAGAACTGTTGCTCCAGGACCGCTATACAAACAGAGGGAACATGTTTTTTCCATGTAGGGGTATATATATATATATATATATATATATATATACAAATGTGTGTTTGTTTGTGTGTGTGTGTGTGTGTGTGTGTGTGTGTGTGTGTGTTTCTATTAAAGCCAGCAGAGGGCAGTAGTAAAACACAGTTTATATTTTGTTGCAGTATTTATTGAGATGAAGTCTGTCAAGCTTTTAATTTTTGATTGCACAATGTTGGTTATCTGTTTTTTGTTTATAGGTTCTGCTTCAGCCACAGACACTGAAAGCTAAAATGATTCTCTATCTTAAACCACTAAGTCCTGTCGCTATGCAAATACAACAGCTGGGTTCCAGTGAGAGACCGAAGGGGACCTCATGTTTTATTCACATCTCATCACACATCAAGGTCTTAATAATAACTTACAGTAATCCCTCTACTGCCCGAGGCCCACCATAGTAAACAGCTTCCCTTTCCAATACACTCTATTATGTAAGAAGCATTTCAGCTGACTGATGTTCTTCTTTAACCACTTTTTTGTTATATATTTTACATTATTATGTTAATAGTTTCCACATATGAAATAATTAATAAGCCCATTGTTCCATGTCAGTATACTTTAATTGTCTGGACATACAGACAAGAACAGCATTGAACAAGGATCCAAATATTAAGGATAAGTTATACAACTTCATAAAAATGTTGTCTTAAAATGGTAATGAATGCCGCAAGTCCAAAGTCTAATCTGATCATCTACGCTACAGGAAACTCTTATTTTCACTAACCACATACCATGACAGCAGCAGGAGAGATCACATTAAAAATAGATTTAATGAAACCAACACTTCATGAAGAGACATTTATTAGATCAGTAGAATACATCACCACCATCATCATCATCATGCCAAAAAGCAGCAGCAGCAGCAGCAGCACTTAATTCCCTCACTTTCACCGTATGTCCAGGACAGATGCAGTGAGGCACCCTATATTTTCTCTTTATAATGATGATCTTATCATATGCCCATCTCTATCGAAAGTTCCACAACTCTGGAGTTGAGCTTGTCTTTGTTAGCCTTAAATTGCTTTCTCAGGGGGGGGGCTCCAGCTGTTTCTCATCTTCCACCGTCATGGCTTCCAAAAGCAGATGAGGTTTGCAAACACTTGCTTGACAAGGTCATCTGACATGCTGATGTGTTGCAATGCTCAACTGACATTGTTGTTCATTGTTGTTAACAGGTCTATGAATGTTTAAATTGAAAGTTAGATCCTGTTTCGATCTTTATATATTTTTATGAATACCTACCTCAGGAATGATCAGTTATACAGTTAAGAGTCCTAACAGAAATAGTATGTACATCTTTGAAATACTTAATATTGTGTACTGAATAAGCAAACAACAGAATAACGGTGACAACACCAGACTAGTATATAATTGCTATAGCAAAACAGGAACACTACAATAGTATTCACATGCACTAGTACACAGTGTCATACTTGTCAAACATACACTATAGTATTTATATTTACATAATGTTCACAGCTACATTCCATGTTTGTGTGTGTGTGCATTGTCTAATAAAGGATTGTTACAATCAGATAAACTAGAGTTGTTATGTTACATGCAGTGAAATTAAGTTGTTACACTGCGCTGCCTGTGAAGACTATGATTATGAGGCAATAAATGTGGAAGAAAATTATGGATACTGGGTTATTGCTCAGTACATTTGATATGTAATGCATTTAATATTGACCAATAATGATAAATATCTTCCAGTCCAACTACAGTATTTTTAATAATACAGTTATTTTAAGAGATTGGTCCTGTAAATCAGATTAATCAAACCAAGGAGAAAAAGAAGCCTGCACATCGAAAAATATTCTCACAATGTACATAATTGTATATCAATAAATACACATATAGTGGAAACAAAGTGTATACAAATCAAATGAACATGACAGAAGTCAGTATGACATTTCATGCACTGATATGATAAAACATAATAAAACCTGACTTTGTTTGGGAAGCTTATCTAGGGCGTAGACACACTAGTACAAAATCTCTGTTTACAGACTTTTTCTTAAATAAATGTTTATCTAGCGAAACAACATAAAACAACAAGACAACTGTAAGCCATTCCCTTTAGTCGGATGAGACACCATAGAATACAGTATTTACACATCTTAGCTACATAGTTGTATTTGTTGTCAAATGGTGACCGTTGCTATAGTTCCTTGCAGTGCTTGGGCATTTTTCTTTCTCATGTTGACTCATTTAACCATCTATAATACCAAAAAATGACCAAATATCCGAAATTGTGCTTTCCATGAGCTCTACTTATTTTGTGCTTGTAACTCCACTACAAGTCCATTTACCCTCTCGGCGGTTTTCTTCTACAGTCACACCTACTCATATTTGTGAAGTAAAAAATAAATGATCAGGTATTTTTAGGTACCTATAGTTTCACACTGATAAACACCTAACTAGCATGCCAGGAGACAATGCCATTGACATCTCAATGTGGAGTCAGTCATGTCTGTAGGGTGGTATGTGTATCCAGTTCTTGTGCTGCTTGACACTGTTTTTCTTCAGTGTTCGGGCCACAGAGGCCAGCTGAGATAATATGCTCAAATGGTCTGGCGTGATACAACATCCCGTTTCCTGCAGTCCTCTGTATTGTCGTACGGTAAACATGGCCGCCCACGCACAGAACACACCAGCCTGCTGATCAGAATAGTATTACCATTCACCAGTTTAACGTTTCTATCCAGTCTTTGTGGAAGATGTCTATCTCAGTATGAAGGAGAAGTGTGGGTAGGTTAATCAGGGTTACAGAGTAAGGTTGTGGTTTGAGTGTTAAAAGTCAAGGGTTGTAGGTCAGACACTGCGGGGGGCCCTCTCCAGTTCATGGGTCCTGCGGTTGCGTCCCTTCTGCCTCTCCTGCAGGTGTTTCCATTTGGCTGCCAGCCCTTGAGCATGCACGTGAGTGCGAGGGTTCACAACCTTCTGCTGCTGTTGGTGCTGCTGGTGTGTTTGTACTTGCTGCACCAGTTGAGCTTTCTGCCTCCTGTGCTTTCTCTCCCTTTTCCATACCTGCTCACAGAACTCATCCACACTGCTCAAAGTAGGGTGATTGACCAAAGACAGGAAGTCCCTGTACCACAGCTTTTGAGTTGGTGTTTCTTGAGGCGGGGAGAGATCACGGGCAGGGACGACGGCTGCGGCAGCTTCATCCCGATGTAGCAGATCCTCCAGGCGTTCGGTGTCAATGACCTCCAAGGTCACCTTCAGAAGCATCTGTATGAAGCCGTGCTCCACCGCCTGGCACAGATAGATCCCAGAATCCTTCTTGTTGAGCGTGCGAATCAGTAGGCCCTGGTCTGTGCGGATGAAACGTTCCTCTGATTTGATCTACAGAATGATAGATTGGCAGCGACAGAGACATAGGGAAGGACACAGAGATACAGATAGGAAAGATATGAGGTTAAACATATTCCAAATATCAATTTCACTATACCTCGTGGCTGTATTGATTACACAAAATGTATTTGAATGAACTATGATATCAAATATTAATAAAATATGACACTGTATTATCTAAAATGATGTTCATTATAAAGTACCATCCATCATGTATCCATGTATCGGAGTCTATTCCAACACAATAGAGTGTGTGCTGAGTTAATTCCTACCTCTTGTTTGCGGTCATCAGTAGAGTGCTGATACTGCCAATATGTCAGGGCTCTCTGAGATTTGGGACTGCACTCAAGAAAGGTGCTGCTGTTCTCCACACCGTACACTGTTTTATCCAGGAGAGTCGCCTGCCCACTTAGTTCGTCTGGATAGAAATCACCAAGTTCAAGTTCATGATTTTTGCAGTTTGTTGCAGATGTTATCAGTTGGTATAATGGCTGAATGTTATGCTCCAAGACCATTTTTTGTGATTATCAATTGATTTCTGTGTTACATTATTTAGGCTTTTTATCTGACTGAAATGTAACAAACTTTGTACTGCCTGAGATAGGAGCCTGGTTTATATTTTTGTCAATGCCACCAGAGGCATTTGTTGGAGGAAAGGGATTCAATGCTGTCAAGTAGGTGCAATGCTATTCAGTCAGATCATTGTTCTTCTGACTGATTTCCTAAATCCTGATGTAAATTTTAAAATGCAGACTTAAGTGAGATCTGCTACAAAATATTATTATTCCCTCCTCATTTTCTTTAATCTTTACTTCATAGAGTGCTGTGTCTAGTGAAAATGTTTGATCAAAAGTGTTGCTGCCTACTGAGTCGGTAGCAACAGGTAACCATACTTATTGTGTGTCTCGTTACTCCTCCTCAAATCAGTAGCTTTCAAAATAAATGTTTATCCTTTTGTTCTTTTCATTTAAATGAAAGAAATGTATAATCACAGTGTATTAGACACCAGTACTGCTTTTGGACAAAGACCACTAACAGGGCAGTAGAGTGGAGGGCTTGGCGACAGGGAGGAGGCTTAGTGGAATCCTGACCATGTTAATTAGAAGCTACACATGGACCAACTGTAATCTTCACACCACCAGACAAACATAAAGCACACACATCCAACTGGCTTCTCTACTGTTCTGATCACATCAGGAAAGGACAGCAGCCGCTTTAGGATCAAAGAAGAAATAAATCCTCAAAACAAAAGCTCAGCATGTCATTTGGAAATTAAAAAAACACATGTTACTAGACAGAGCAATAATTAGGTACTCAGGCCAACATAAAAATGTTTTATGACACATTGCCTTGATTATACAATAGTTTGTTAAATAGATAATATCTTCAATTATGTACCATGGTGTTGCAGATCTGAGCATTGTGTGAGTGGGTCTCCATTCCTGATGTCTTGCCTCCTTGTTCTCCTGCAGAAAAACAAATATAAACACCTTCATGAGTATATATTCCTTGTGTGTGTGTGTGTGTGTGTGTGTGTGTGTGTGTGTGTGTGTGCAGGGATGTGGTTTCATTGTGCAGCAATAATGTAGGCCAACACAAATAAATAAACTAACAGCAGGCAGTCCATAGCATCGCAGAAAAGCTTTAATTATAGGGTGTGTATGACGAAGGAATTCAAACCTACTCAATCATGTCAGGCTGTCATTCCTCTGGGTTGCTGATGCAAAAGCGATGGACTTTCAAGTAAAGTGTGAAACATAACCGTAAGGATAAGAAACTTTGGAGACACCAAAGCAAACTGATAACTTCTCCCCTCGGCTTCCCATTGTCCTGACCCAGCGTTTGTGTGTTGGTAATTGGAGATAAGAGTTTGCGCTGGCTGTCTTATGTTTGAACGTAGGACTCTGGAGTCCAACTACCAGCGAGAACAGGATGCTGTGCAGCTAGCATTCAAATCAATAAGCCCCATGGAGCTATGAGTGGGAGGCTGCACACAGAGCACAAGTACCCACATACATGAACAAATACAGATCAGTCCACTAATACAACCATTCTACCACCGAACCTCTACCACCGACCTCACCCATGGTTCACCCAGACAGCCTCCAGACATCGCTGACATTGGGTCTCATTTACGGTAAATACATGAGGCAGGTTATATTTCTGACTCTGTGGTAGAAACACGACCCTCTACCTTTAGGGGGTTTTGGCAAATATACAAAGCCTGCACTATAAGTACGCCCTAGCTCCAGCCCTGAATCGCGGTCTGACTGCATGTGTCCTCAATCACTATGTGAAAAGCCTTCTATATAATCTAGTCGTGCCTCTGTTAATAAATATAGTCAATATGTTAAACAAAAGTAATTCTTAAACAAGCATGACTCAAACATGTGTTGTATATTGTAGATCTAAAGCAGGTTGCTCCGACTGTGTGGAAAACACAAATGTTGATGTTATTATTTTCTTATGAAAAGCACATCGTAGCTAAGCTACTTGCGGGGTGTTTCAGTTAGAGAATGTGGTGATTTATCCAAAGTATGCATAAAATTCAATGTGTATACCTTGCCAAGATGTGTTACAATAATGCCGTTGTTTTGAAGTAACATATTCGGTTTGTGGCAAAAATACCTGCTCACTGTTTTGAAGCTCTGATTAGTCGCTGTGTACAAGTCGTCAGGCAGCTTGTAAAACACAACGACATGACATGAATGTGAAAATATGCATTCAGTACCTCTTAGCCATGGGAAAGTATCTGGAGCACTCGGTGCCATCCCATGCACAGTAAGGGTCCCTTGCCAGGCAGCACTCTGCACAAGCCTTCCCATAAACTTCACACCGATGCAAAGGCATCTGGGACACACCGATGTCTGAGCCCAGATACAGTTGTTGCTGTGAGGGTAAAAGAGAGACAGACTTTAAATATACAATATTTTATGTCTTAGGAGCTTCACTTTAGATTTAATAATGTCTGGATGAGCGGTGTGCTTTGAGTAATACGTCTATGTCTGGCTCAGCTTGTGTGTTTGCGAAGTGAGAATACAAGTCAGGAATGTGGACAGACCATATTCCTACAGGTGCTCAGCACCCACCCAACTGTCAATTCGCTGTCTTGTTTTGTCTCTCCCTGCAATTAAAGTTGATGAGCTAACATGTTGCTGAAAAGCCAACAATTGAGATCTTTGTGCGATAAGCGTTTCATCTCCAAGTGTTAATAACAAGCGCGTCTTTATTCGGTATTTTAGCCAAGCAGCAAGGTGTGTCACCTATGAGGAAAAGCTCTAACTTGCTATGAGACAGGGTTTTCAGACATGAAAAACCCTTTTTCATTATGTATAATATCTCCATAATGTTTCTCCCCAATGCAGTCCAGGAGGCTTATCTCTTATCTCCAGCTTTCACTGAGCTCATTTAATGAAGTAATATTATTTTCAGAGTAATCTTGATAGGAGCTTAAGATCTCCTCTTGGCTACTGTGCTGCTATAGTTTCATTTTACAGGCTATAAGAACGAAAATCAATACCTGTTTTGTTGAAAGTTCCATCGCTTTAATGGCTGTTGGCTCCTGCAACGAAGAGGAAATGCCAATAGAATAGATTGATTAGACAACACCCGCTGATTCTGCGGTCATTCTTTAACCTTTAAGAAAATAACCTACTCTGAAGACAGTCATTTCTTCCAATAGGACTTCTTCCAGGTCATGCCAGGAGCCTCTGGGGATGGATACCACTTTCAGTATCGTCCCCATGTCTAACACACAAAGGAAGCACACATGATGCAATATATTATAATAAAGAAGTAACATCAGTAACATATTAGCACAATATGGTAAATTATCATATTGTTTGGGAAATGAGATATAATATTAGCTGAGCTAGTAATATAATATAACATAATATACAGTATAGTATAGTACATAAATAAAACAGAATGGTAGGCAATAGAAGGTCAAATTGACAGTATGTATTTAAATGTATACCTGTGCCTATGAACATGACGTCGTACTGGCCATCTTCTGCTTCTACTTTGTCCACCACTATCTGGGTGAACTGGTAGTCCACATCTGTTTTGACTATGATTGGTCGATTGTTAATGGGGTATACCGGGTTAAACATGGCTGGGTGGCTTCTGGCAAAGGTTACGACTTCATCAGGAAGGTCCTTGGTTGTATCAAACCCTCCAAACGTCTTGCTTGGGCACTGTTGAGAAAAAAAAGATAACCGTTACAAGAAGTGATGATGTAGGACATAAAGTAGAATTAACTGTCAAGCTCAGGTCACAACACACTGACGTCCCAGTTCATAGTGTACTGCACTCACTGTGCCAGGCCGTGGGTAGGGAACACGTCCCTGGAAGGGCACCCACTGATAGTTGGGTCCATCTCTATGAGCGTAAGGACCGAGGAACACTCTCCTGATGTCCGCCATGCTGTACATACACACAGCTGAACCTTTGAAGATGTTGCTAATGGGGCGGAAAGAATGAGTCGGTTAAGGAAAGGTCAGGGTCTTGTTGAAAACACGGCTCATGTAATCAGTGATTACAGCCAAAACTATTTCCGTGTCAGGCATCGTACCTGGAAGTGGTAAATACTGCATAGATGATCGGGCTCTTAGGATCCTTTGTGCTCATGAGAAAAACATCCTCTGAAAGTCAAAGAGAGGGCACTGTATATTACAGACACATTCACCGCTGACAAGATTGCATTTCATCTTCAGGAAAAAAATTTGTGAAACAAATTTCAAGGTGTGGGAACAATCACTCACGTAGTTCATCAAAGTGTGTGTCTATTCCATTACTGCCAGGCACGGAGCAAATAAGTCGCGCCTTCAAGAAGGTGGTCCACTTATTTACCAAACTCCTGTGACCTCCCAGGTCATTCTGTTGGCCAGATCACATGCACAAGTTCAGCAGTGAAATTCATTTATTTGGAACTCACAGAAATATTGAGACAATTGGTCTTTTATTTTCTACAGTTTCTTTTCCTCCTTTCAGCGTATACTAATATATCATAGTATGTTGAAACAACTTTCTTTAAGTTTTTGTATTTATATGCAACTATATGTCTGTAAAATAAAAACAACCATTGGCTATATAAGGTTGATGGAGGACTTGCATTGCCTTATTTCATACTTTCCTACTGCTGAGCTGAGAATATATGCTTCATTACCCTCTGGTTAAATGAGGTGTGGCGCTTCCTTGCTGGCTGCATATGGAGCATGAGAACTGCCTACCCTATGCAATGAATGGGCTCAGTTTCCCCCTCTTACGCCTTTTAGAGCATACTGTAGAGTTGTCATTTACAAAACAGACATGGAAAAATATGAGAAAGCCCTTCAAAGTTTGGTTAAAGTACATTAAACTTGTAGAACTTGTGTATGTCCAGGCTTATCAATGAATCTTTATAGAAAGCAGATCAGGAGTCTGGTAAGCTACAGCAGAGAGTAACCAGGGTCTTACCGGCTCAGATCATGAAGTGATATCGCTATGATAATACACTGTTTCTATGGTAAATGATTGCATTTGTTGGTCATATGACTATGAAAACTTGTGAACCGTCTTCAATTCTCTTTAAATTGACTCATTCTTTCCACTAAATACATTTCAACCTTACACACGAAACACTGACAAATCAGTGTTTACGAAATACACTGGACAGTATATTTAAAACAGATTAAGCAGACTATATGAAACATAAACCTTTCATTAATTGTGATATGAGCATTTCAGTGCCAAATGCGCTTTCTCTTAATTACTTAAGAGGCTTGTCAACCAAACATCCTATGAATTTCCAATGATAAATAATGGATATTTAGATGCTGTAAAGAAACTAGTTTCTAAAGTACTCTATGTCTCAGCACACACCCTAATAATATGTGTCTGTGCGCCTCACAATATGTTTGTTTTCCAGAGCAACACAAACACAGATGCACAAAGTGCTGGCTCATAAAAACATATCCCAGTTGGTGTTGATTTATGACAGTAAATAAGAATGTGTCCAAATATGCACAGGCCATAATTAATACCACATCTTGCGAAATGGATGGCTTGTCTTTTGTCGAGCATAGCAGATTCCTGGCAGACTGGGTAATCAGAGATTATGACAGGGGCAAAATATGCAGCTAAATAGGCGGTTGAGGCTGGACATTACTCGCTGATCTGCAGTCAGCCTGGTGGATTCCTTCTTAATGAGTAAGAGTAGAATTTGGAAGGCGAAAGCTGATACAAGACCAGTGATTTAACATAACCATCCCCCGGAGCTAGAGGGTGTAGCAGCCCCAATCAGTGCCAAATGCCTGGCATTTGGATAACAGTGCTGCCATTGACAGCATCTTTGCCTCTCAGGTTCTGGTGACATTTAACATTTCTCTCAGGTTTCTGTCTTCAGGGGCTGATTGTACCACACACAACAAAGCCCACTCTTCTCCAGGCTAAAAATAATCACAGATAACAGCCCCTGAAACCTGCCATTATGAAAGCCACTCAGACACCCGTCAAGTGTTTTTCCAGATACAGAAGCTGTTTCACATTATGTCGGTGTAAGAGTGTGAGTGTCTTTGTCTGAATTTCCCTTTGTGAGAGCCAGCTTGTGTGAGTGCGTGCTTGAATGGGCATGTCTCTATGTGTTAATGTGTGCATATGCGTACTTTGCAGAGCTGCCCGATGCGAGCGTGTGTGGCCTTCCCAGCGTGCTCTCCGTCCATGGCGTTCTCTTTGAAGAGCAGATAGATTTTGTCATCTTCTGGGTTGTCGCTCTCTGGAATTAGATGAACGCCCACAAACCTGGGATCTGCAACACATAGAGAGACACACATTTGAGATGAAGGAAATCAAGGTAAGTATCAATTAAGTGGTTAAGTTCTAACTCAATGTGTTTCTTTTATTAGTCATTTTCAAAAAAATGTTTAAGTGCCTCACAATAAAAGCATTTAGTATTAAATATCAAACAGACAGGGTAGTAAACACAAGAGCAATAAGGACAGCAAATGATTGGTAAGCCTTCATTTAAGAGAGGTACTCAAGGGCTTCACCGTGTAGAGCCTGTTAGGTAATAACAAACGTTTTATGTTGAATGCTAAACTCCACCTGCAGCCAATGGAGAGAAGCCAACACATACGTAATGTGCTTCTTGCGCTTTGTCTTTGTTAGAAAACAGGCTGCAATAGTAAGCCATGCAGAAAAAGCAGTATTATAACGAATTACTAAGACATAGTTGTGAGGACACAAACGCATGGATTCATCTCTATTTTCAAAAGATAGAATATGTTTCTGACATCAACAGAATGAAGAAAAAATAATTCCCAGAGACAGCTGCAATGCTGTCCATCATGTTTGACAGGTAAGTACAGCTGAGTGTCATCCCCATAAAAGTGGACATAGATATTAAAAGTATTAACATAGAGGCCTGATGGTAGCATATAGAAAACAAGAGGAAATCCAATGTGACAGCATCAGTCTTGCCCTCACCAACTGACATTTACAATATTCCAGATAATAAATTTGAGTTGATTGCAAAGTCAAGGACCCAAAAAGTATTGCATATTTGAAACTACTCATGGCTATGAAAGTTAACCGCCGATTTTCCTCTTCTCTCTCACCATTTAGCCATCGGGAGTCATGTTGCTCCGTCCTGATCGGGTGATGCTTTCCGAGAGTGCGAAAGATGGCAAAGTCCCGCCCCATGAAGTCAGCTGATGTCCCAGCATACAGTTCTCCATCTACAAGTAAGAGGAATGAAGTGAGTTAGTTTAGTGCCACCGGATGAGGAAACAGTCTGAGGTGATTTCTCCCCAGTGACCCAGGTGTAAAAGTCTGAGGAATTGTTCAGGGGCTTAGCAGTACAGGTACACATGGAGTCCTGAGAAAATACAGACAGGGATGGATGTGATGAACATCAGGAGTGTGAAATTGACATTAACACAGTAGGCAGGCTGAGAAGGGAGGCAAGGGAAGGGTGAATGGATGGAGAGACACATGAGGAGGGACAGGACAGAGGTGTAAGACAGGGGGTGTACATAATAATGGTGGTGAGAGGGGAGAGAGAAAGAGGAGAGGAGATGAAGGGTGATGGGCTGGAAAATGGCCATCTGCTAGCTTAAACAGTGTGATACAACACAAAGTGACTAGCAATAATTGGGGGTAAAGAGGAAAGACACGCTCACGTCATTCTGCTTTATTTGCAAAATATGTGGATTCAGTACAAAGAAAGCTCAATAAAGCGTCATCTGCCATTCACGCCCAGCACTTAAAGGAGGTATATTCAGATTGAAATAGAGTTTGCAGTCGTGCCAATGAGGGGTTCCCAGTGTGTAAATACAAACCACAGAGCTGATCCACTGGTAATGAATGACAGGGATGCCCAGTTCTGTTATTCACGTTTACTTAAAACCCTATATATCTTCTGAAATGAAAGAGCGAGGCTGAGGGTGTTTTCAGGACTCCCATGTTTTTATATGACCTTGATCTAACACACAGAAGAACAGCACAGCGTATCCGGTCTTAAACTCACCAATTAGCATGGAGGCAGTGAGTAACTTGGGATCATAGGGACTCTTTCCTCGGCCATTTTCTATAAGAGGCTCCAGTTTGAACACACTGTCCTGGACATGGAGAGACAGAACGTTAAAGGAGTTGTAGTAAACTGTCAAATACAGGGGCGCACATTATTTTCAGGCATTAAGGAGGCAAATTACATAGAGAAAAAAGAGTTGCTTCAGTATAACTGGAGTTCTCTCTGGGGAACCGGGTTTGCTGTGACATCCAAGTTGGGAGAACGTTCTGGTATTTTATGCAAATGAGCATTGTAGCAACCCACAGAATCCAACAGAACACAATTTGGACACAGTTTCAGTCAAAAAGCTTACCAAATGTTTCATAGTAAATCACAGCCAAATGTAATGCAAAAGTAAAGACATTTTGGTTTTGAATTATACCTTGATATGCATGAAATAGTTTGTTTATGAAGCAATTAAAAAACATTACGTCATGCCATGCAGTGTGGAAAACATGTTTTAAAAACAAATAGATAAAGCTGAGGACATGTGTGAGATTGGTGCAGTTTCCCCCTGTTATATACGCTGCCAGGAACGGATGGAGAATGAAAACAATAAATCCCATTACTCTCTATGATTTGATGACCTCGACACTCATAGGATATCCATCAGATGAATTACACGTACATTTCTAGGTTATGATCTATATACAGCAAATAGCTTTTCTCAGAGATATTTCCTGCCTCTAATTGTCTGTAAATAGCCGTCTAATGAATAAGAAACGCACATAAGTCTGACTCAGTGACATTTGGAGGAGAAGAGAGCAATTTCCTTTGCTCCTACTGAAATGAACACACACACACACACACACACACGCACATACACAGCAGTTTCAAATTAGAGTGATGATTTGAAAATCCTGCAGACTATGAAACCCTGTGTGTAATTGTCCATATCATTTTGCTGAATGAAACCATTTGTATGTGCTTAGCAAATCACCAGAGAATGCAATCACACCCGACTACACATAGTCCTTCACAACTTTAAATACTTAAACTTTATTACGATATATGAAAATTGGGATAGCTTTTATATTGTAATGCTAACATGCATTGTTGTGTTTGACTTGTGTGCCTGTACCTCTGGTTTCTTGCCGACCTCCAGGTAGGAACAGACAGGGTGGAAGGCTCCTGTCCCGCACACATAGAGATGGGTCTGGTTGAACGGCTGCAGCACCTTAATGAAATTTGAGCACTCCCTCTGATGGACCAGAGACAGAGAACAGATTAAGCTGGATGGATAATCAACCGTCGACACAAAGCTATTTTATATTCACAGCTTTTTCTTTGGTGCCACTGTCGTCCAAAAGCTAGTCGTGATAGCAACTGACATTTGGGTCAGTAAGAAAGTGGTGAAACAGCTGGATAAATAAACAGGTCAGACTTCACTAAGAGCACAGGTCACAGAGGAAAATCCCACACTTATAGAGAGAAAAACTCTCATGATAACAGAGAGCCAAGCCCACTGTAATCTACTGTAATTCTCTGGACAATGGCCTCCATAAACTCTGCTGAGTAATACTTCTGAAAATAATATTATGACCAGACTAAGCTTTATTATCCATGACTTTGTAGCTTTTTTGACTTCATCGACACGCACACGCTGCAGTGTTTCTCTCTGAACTCGGTGACATCACTGTTGGCCTCAGAGACTTTGTGCACACGTGCTTTGTAGTTTCCCATGGAAACTACAAAGCCCATACAAGAGGGAGTTAGACCGTAGAATAACGAAAGAGCCAGTCGACAAAAGTCAACCACAATAATCCTACTGTTTACCAATCACTGTAATGCAGGCCAACGCTGGCTTACTGTCATTCTGTCAGTGGAGAATACATAAGTGATGTTCTCGATTCTGCATTGTATTGGGCTCTTGTGACTTTGTTTTATGACTATTGTAGGAACATAGGCATAATTATCACAACAGGCATCTGTATTCGTTGGATGCATTGCTACGTTGCCATATGGCATATTTCCTCGTGCTCTGGCAGCACGTGCCTGAGCAGACCTGACCTCAAACAAAACTGAATGTGTCATCACATATTCAACAGAAAAAAAAAGAAAATAGTGCCACAAATTATGCATGACTAAGTTCATCTGGCTTCAGGTCATCAGCACATAGTAGCCTCTGTTTTGCGTAAGCTTTTGTTGCCATCTAAGCAGCTGTCTTTGCCTGCATTTAAATGCCTGCGTGCGTGGGTATATCTGAGTAATGGACATCATTGTTCCAAGAAATAACACACTACTGCAAGTATCTGCATAATCTCTTTGCACATTGATACCTCGCATACCTCTGAATCTGTAGAAAGATGATGCAGACAAGAGGATTCAAACCATACAAGTGTGTCCAACAAATCTCAAGAATTTGTTGCAGATCCGAAGAACTGAGCTCAAGACCTAAATGTGCAGCAGAAAGCTCAAAATATGAATATTAAGCTTTGACAGAACATTATTTTTCCTTTATTCTGCTAGGTTATGGGATTTTCATGTTTGGCATTGACCTGCAATAGCTGCAGCTTTCTTTTTTTCTCTTGTGGGTCACACCTTTCACACCCATCAATCTCTTTCTTTCCCCTCAGCTTTATCTCTTGAAGTGTTTCCTTGCAGTACATCAGGGGACATCAGCAGACTCACTCTCCATCTCTCTCCAGCTCCCTATAATTCTCACTCTGCTTCGACTCTATAACAGAAAGACCACCCCTCGGGGCGCCTTATTCATCCACGCCACGATGTTTACAGAAAACACACAAAGGACTTCATGGTGCTTCAAATCAGCCACACATAAGGGCAGGAGAGCTTGGCCAATGCCCAGGCAGCAAACTGAGGCACAAACAGCATTGACATGGTTTTAGATTCCAGCATTTTGCCTTCGGCTCTATTTGAAAATAGAATTCATAACACAGCTTGCAGGGAGCAGAGACAACCTCTCAGTGTGTTTACACAGAGCTTCACCACATCATACAAGATGCTTTAAAACTGGACTCGGTCACAGGGAGATGTGATTCTTGGCCTGTCATGCAAAGGTTGAGTGAGGTAAGGAATCTGAAAATTCCCTGCATCTTAATGGCACAACAGCATTTTTTTTTCTTTTGTTTCAGATCCTCAATCTTCGAAGCTCATCGAATTATTCTACGATTCTTAGCCTAAAGAAATAAATACACTGTACAGCTTTGGAAATCTCAGATGATTAAGTGTGTGTGTTTTGTTCTCAAATATATTACTGTAGGGCACAGGATAAGAATAATGCACATCATTATGTAGTTTAGGGAAAGCTTTAACTTTATTAGTTAAACTGACTGAGACTGAAGACTAAACTCCTAATAGGTCCAGTAGGTCTGGCAGAAAGCACAGCAGTTTCCCAGGCTTCACTCTATTAAATGGAGTGCCCAGAGGCTTGTGATTAAGGTCAAATGGTGGTCTCAGTCTTGGGTCTGAGATTATGACCAGACCTATGGTGAGCTACAGTAGGCGGTGAGTTGTCCATGTGACAGATTGAATATGTCAACACAGTGGAATAAACAAGCTAAAAGATAAAGAAAAATATCATATTGTTGACGATTAAAATGTCATATATATGGAGCACACATGCCATGTCATCCCAGCCTCAAGTGAGGTTTTACTCCCAGACCTGCAGAGTTGCCATTCTTTCATAGCTCAAGAGAACAAAGTCCTTTCATAAACATCTGTGGGAGTGGAGGGGCAAAATGCTGAAACCTACTTGCAAGATGAATGGTTTTAGCTCTTACCGAGATATCTTTTCCTGCCCACTTGCATTCATCTCTTCTGGTGGGAGAAGCCAGCCAAGGGATCTGCAACACAAACACAGTTCCTGTGCATGTTAGAGAAGAATCAGAAGCCTCCTCGAATCAATTTAACAAAGTGAGTCAATACAGCTACTGCTTGTGTGCACGCATGTGTATACATGCAGGTCACAATGCGATTTGTTATCCACTTTGTTTCAGTTTACTCCATTATTAATCCAGGTGCGCAGAGAGCAGCTAACATGCCTGGCACAGCGTGTGATCGTGTGCGACAGCCCTGGTCTGAAATATTAATGAGGCTCTTTTCTGTAGAAACAGAAAAGAAAGTCCCGAGATACCTGAGCCCCTGACTGGCACTCTGCAAGGAGACGTACACTCAAGGCAGATATTAAGTCGGTCAGAAACTAAAACAAACTTAAAACCATGATGAATTATTAAATGGGTGAAGCCACCAGACAGACAATCAAACAACGGTTGTACCTGTGCGTAGTCTCTGCTGATATTGAGGAGGTTAAAGGAGAAGATGTGGTCCTTGGCTCCCACAACGAGTCTTCCTTTCTCCTCGTCCAACAGGAAGGTGTGGTAAGCTGAACTGTTGGCCAGGCCTTCAAACGTCACAAGGTTGTTGGACTCCAGCATGTCTGCAGATGAAAAATGTAAGGAAAAGTGATGATCAGCATAATATGATAATCACTTTGTGAAAATCATAGCAACTGTGGGCAGCATAAAAGAAAGAAAACCCACCAGGTCAATACTTATTTGGATAGTTCATTACATTTCCACGGGTGTCTGAAATACACAGCCTTGGTTTGAGAAAGCTTTCCACATTTCCAACCACTTTAAATTTCTGTGACCACAGGTTGACCTCTCCATTCACTAGTCTGTCTGCTCTGCTGTAATGTTCCACATGCACTGAATAAGTAAAAGAAAATGCTACATTGGTTTTAAAAATATATAAATACTTTTGTATAAATGTTGTAGCTTCCATTACTATTACAAAATCTGAGGACTAGAAATTGTAAAGCTTGACGAAGCACGGCAACACATAGTGAAGAGCCACCGCCAAGCCAAATTGGACCGGGCAGGTAATGCCAGCACTGGTAGCCAATGATCAAACTGTCTGCATGGGGAAGTGACCTTGACCACAGCAGCCAAGCAGAGCTTGTTACACTCTCAGTGGAAAAGTGGGAGGAATATATAATGTTATATAAATCTGCTAATATTTCGTAGTCCAAACTGCAGGATTACTCTAAACCACATGAGCTACCCGGATACGTTACCATGGGCTACAGCTCACGTTTTGCAGTGTAATGCAACGGTCTGCCAAGTCTGGCAACTAAGGAACATTTGCTTTCACAGCGGAAAGCCGAACTTGTCACAAATAGACAATGAGGATCTCATTACCGTAACGACCTCTAAAGGTGGCATTATGACTATGGCATTAAAACACCTTTTGTGTAACATGTGCGTAAACACACACAAACACATTCATGCTCCGTCCTTCTCACATTTTGTTCTCACCCACAAAGTCTGACCACACTATGACGCCCTCTCATTGACCGCTCACACAAAAGAGTGGAGAGTTATGGAGCAGAGGAGAACTGCTTCTGTTGGTGCTCTCTCTCTCTCTCTCTCTCTCTCTCTCTCTCTCTCGCTTACTCTTTCTCGGGAGTAAATAGCAAACACGTTCATGAATGTTTTAGCAAGGAGAATGTCCCCTCTCTAAAGTGTGTCAGAACCCGAGAGAGTGAGAAGCTGTACAAGAAAAGAAAAATTGGAAAAGAATCTGCTTTTACTCATTCATAAACTCTCATATTTTAATAAGAATTCAAAACATGGATCTTGAAAGTTGCCCAGCAAATCTAAAAAATCTAAATGCATTTTTATAAATATGATATCCATCTGTAGGCTACTTAAGTCTATTGTACAAGATACACAAGAACAGCTAAAAAACGAAATGAGAAGAGTAACACAAGCTGTAGCATCTAAAGAAGACAACAATGGGGACATTTGTCATTATTTATTCACTATTTACCATTCACCTGTTGTTAAAGCATAAGGGGTGAATAGTATATAGGATATTGTGTTTTATGGAAATACTTATTTTATACATACATGGTAACAACAGGAAGTGTAAAATCAAAAGGGCGATGAGATAAATAGAGAATAAAAAGCTGGGTTTGAAAAAGGAAATGTGTTCAAAGTTGAGGAAACAGCTGTGTAAGACAAAGGAAAAAGCAGAGAACCTCTTTGCTCTCGTTAAAAACGTCCTTGTCTTCATGTAACATTTTGGCTCTGGCACTGAGACCAACACAAACCTTTTCTTCACTGACGTACATGCATATACGTGCATATAAACATCTACATTCACGCGAATGCTGTGTTCACATGTACGCACACATGCACACAACTGTACACACAGGATGGTAACAGACAATGGGTTGACTTTGGGGTCTTTATTGCCATTGTTTCGGTGAATTAGTTGGTTTCCTGTGCGGATTCCTGGACAAATTTAAGTATAAACTCATATAGTACTGTGTGAGCCAGAGAGAGAAGTTGACATCTAACCCTGACTTAATGATTCCATGAGGATTTAAAAGTATTATTGTAAGTCATAAAGAACAGATAATGAGACTTGTTCCAAACCCAAAAGCTTGTAAAGACATTACGTAGCAATGCAGAGTTATCCATTAACACATAACACAATTTAATTTATGATCCAATAAATGTGTCCACACATTACAGTATAAACTTGTATCATGCATGTGTATTTATGCGTCTATAAATCACAGACAGATTTGATTTTTATTCGGGGGATTTTCTTGCAATATTAGATACATTTTCTCAAGGTATAATTTGGGTTGCACATAACATAGCCACTGTTTGAGAAAGGAAAGAAGCTCAATGTCATAAGAAGTTGCAGTGAAATGATTTGCTTAGTACAGTCCATGCTGTGTCCCAGATTTATGCACCGTAGTGACCTTGGTGATCAATCATTAGTGTAAGCCCTTCACAGACAGCACAATGACATTCGCCTGCTACCTCTGACCCTCTCTCACCTGCACCAGTGCTGCATTTGTGTGTGGGAGAGAAAGTCAAAGACAGAGAGAAGTCATCCTTCACATACAATTGTACTTGTGCTCCATAGAATTAGGGGATACTTATGGCTTTGAATATTGTAGCAAATTGAAACTTATTGCCTGGCATCCCGCAAGGTAATTTTACACACACACACACACGCATGCACATTGAAAAGAAAAATGCCAATGGTGTTTATGTGTAATTTGTATATAATTAGTTTATCTAAAGGAATGATACACTTGTTATATAAACAGCAAGGTGTCAAGGAGCTGTAGGGAAACTGCACAGACGTGATGACTGCACTTCACTTCTCCTAAAACCACATCCATGTATGAGAGAATGGAGAACAGCATCACCACATCCACCCACCACAGAGACACACACACACACACACACACACACGCACACACACACACACACACACACACACACACACACACACACACTTCTCTGGTTTGTGAAACTTGTCTATGGGAGTAGTGTCCATGGCAACAGACCATTCAACAGAGACTACTGCTAAGTTATTAAAAGCTATTCATCCAGAGACAGATACTCTGTGGGTATTGTGTGTGGATCTGTGTGTTTATGGAGCATGCTCTGATGTGTGTTGTTGGAAAGAAACAGGATGTTTCCAAGCCAGAGGCAGTGGCCTATACATGTCTAAACTGGTGTGCCCTCTGGTTAAATATACAATGGGTTGACACCCTGTGCATGGATAAAGCAGAGCTTGCTTTGCTCCCATTGATCCCGCAACTTCTAACGTTTTTTTCTGCAAAATGGTTTCAATACACTGGTAGGTCTGTGACAAAGTGTTTTTTATAATAATAATAATAAGTCTGTAATGTTGTGCTGCATAGAATATTCTTGGCTGTATTCAATGAGATATCGACAAACAAACAGGCAGAAAGACAGAGACACAAAGACAGGTGGATAGGCAAATGTATGGCCTGTAACAGGTGTCAGCTGCTGCCCTGCCATGTTTTACGGATTTTCTCTTTTAGCCCGTAACTGTTGAAGTAGGGCTGTTAAGAATCCTCATGTTTGGTCCCTTCCTTTGTCATTCTTTTCCTCCCCCCATTTATTTTTGTAAAAAACTATTTTACCAACTATCCCCTACCCCCCCTCTTTCATCACTACTATATTCTGCTATGACGAATTTGTGAGTTGGGACAGAGAGACACGAAGAGGGAGAGGAAAAAATGGAAAGTGAAAGAGAAAGAGAGAAAGCGAGCGAGAGATACGGGGGCAGATGGAATGGATGCAAAGAATCAACAGTCCCATGTGAGACTGATAAAAATAAACTCTTTTACCCTACATTCTCCCGGTCTTTCTCATTCTTTCTCTCCCTCAACTGGAGGGCACAGAGAGTGTTATCTGAGTGCTTCCTCAGAAAAAGCAGAAACACGTTTTAACAATTACCCACGTGTGGCCGCACTGTATATGGGAACACTGACATTTGGCCGTGGTTCAGCAGCCTCACTGACTTCATATGGCTGTGTGTATGATTGCACACTGACAAAACACAACGTATCACTGTGTCACTTTAAGTGTGTACAGTCACTGATTCATCCACACCTGAGGGAAAACACCACTAAGCTCCACCAGTCAAGTAATTTGTTCAGTGTCAAGCAGAAATGCAGGCAAACACCCTCTCAACCTCAACTCTCACATATTACAGGCTGGTCTGCACACTTGCCTGGTTTGGGGTTAAAGGCGATTGCTTTAGAAGATATTTTGCAATAACATTTTTGAGTTACATATGTAAACATAAACTTTATTAGAATCCCAACATATATACAAGACATTTGACCTCTACATTCAACCCAGTCTAAGCAGGAGCAGTGCGCTGCATGTGAAGTGCTCGGGGAAGAACTTTAGGCTCAGTGCCTCCCTCAAGGACACTTCGGTAGGAGCCAGGGATTGAACCGTCAGCCATGTTGCATAAGGACAACTCGCTCTACCTGTTGAGCTACAGCCGCCCCTTTTATGTCATCTATGGCTGGGCAATACTTCATTTGCCATCTATCATCATATGATATGATCCTTCTCTGTAGTCAAAATGTATAATTCCATGCTAATCGTAGCTAAAACCTATAAGTAGTTGCTGAAATGTTGTTCTGTCTAGTGTGATATATCATAGTGGTTACAACTTAACTGCATTTTAGTTTGATCATTTTAAATGTGATTTTTTTTATACATTTGCCATATTGTAATTTGTATTGATAGTGGAAAATGTTATTATTGATATCGTGGTATTGATTTAAGCCCTTCACAAAACACTATGCCTGTTTGTCAGCCAATAGCTGTGAGCAGTGTCTATTATGTAAGCAGACGTATCTTACTTTGCAGCTGGTACAGATGACGACTAAGTCAAATGACTACAAAGATTCCTCTTAGAGCCCCTAGAGGAAAAAGTCAAACAAGAACTGAACACTGCAAAACAAATCCTGAACATGCCTGCAGTTAGAGGGAAACAGAATATTGACAACCTCGAGAAAACCTCCAAACATCCAGCTCTCTAAGTGTAGAGGATACCTTCCCATGGCCATTCAGAGTTTATACTGTCCACACCCCGAGAAACCCAACTTCACTCCGAAGATCCTTAACGTGCTTATGGATTAAAGGTCTTTAAGAGAACTTCTCCATTCTCCAACTCTGATTAAAAGTATATTCGCACCACAATGAAAACACAAGAATAACACAAAAACAAAAACAGCTGAATGTATGACTACTACGATGAGGAATTTTGTAAACAGTGAAACCAAAGGGGTTATTGCTGTAGTTTCAATTTTCTTGGCTCTTTTCCTCCTTGGTATTCAAGAGTAAGAATTGTGTTGTGATGCTTGTGAATGCATTTGCCTCTGTGAGTGTGTGTGTGTGTGTGTGTGTGTGTGTGTGTGTGTGTGTGTGTGTGCGCGCGCAAGCTGTTGGCTCTGATCATGAAAGGGGTGGACAGGTCGAAGTGAAGGAGACGGGAAGAGAAGGAGTAATTTTGGCAGTACACACACTCGCATCCTATAAAACTAAAGTACCCCCTTCCCTGGACAGCAAACTACATGTGCTCTACTTCTTGTGCCCCATAAACTTGCAAAGCCATATGGATCTCTGTTTATTCCTTGAGGATTCACTTACCCTGGGGGTGTGAATCAATCTCCTTTCAATTGATGTCAAAGGATAACATTATGTGAAATTACTCAATCTATAGTGCTGGGGTGCACTGTAAATCCACGGCCTCCCACTATCTCATCATCACCCCGCCACTTAGTTGTTGATACAGTTGGACCTTAGCTCTTGTTTAGGTAGCCATGGGGTACCATTGTGATCTTTCCCCCTACTCCACTGCCCTTCTGCCCCTCAACCCTCGCTTTCAAAGATCTGTTGGAATCTCCTGTGGTTCAGCGAGAAGTGTGTGTGTGTGTGTGATGGCGGAAGTTGGTATGTGTGCTTCAGAGAGTCTAACAGTGTGCATTGAGGGGCTCATACTGTGGGGGAGCAGGCTGCTGCTCAGGTTCACGCCTTCGAGATAAACACGATCATATGAGTTAAGTCATCAGTAGAGTAAAAAACATGTTCAAATGTGTGGATGCCCGCACCCACACACATTCATTTGGACACACAGAGACTTTCCCAGTATTCCCAGTGACCTGTAGGGGTCAGAGTTCCTTCACCTCAGAGTCCCATGTGTCATGGATCAGATTTTCCCCACTCAGGACTGGACAACTTCTCAGGCTGTCTAAGCAGGTACTGCTCTGCATCATATGATTCCCTCCTCTCCGAGAGTAAATCTGAGTCTGCTTCACCTGTCACAGGGGTAATAAATAATGTATATGATGATATAAATGATTCATAATGCAATAATCCCATGTCACTTGCCTAATGGGACTTACAATGGATAATGTTTGATAAAATTCTACAGTATGAATAATATTTTAACCACGTTCCAGGCATGAAAATGATACCTGCTCGCTATCCTTTGGCTAGAACTCCTCAGCCAGATATGGTGCCAAATATTGTCCCCTCCAGCCAAAATGCAAATGAGGTCTAATGGAAATATTGAATGTAGAAATGACCAAATAACCAAACTGGCCAGGCTGCAACCTGAAGGCCTGCCTTCTAATAAAGATATCACTGCATGGGCGTGTTTCTCCAAACTGACAGCATGTTGTTTTAAGTGACTGAGTCGCTCACAGGTATCATTAGCTAACTACAGATGGCCATACATTTATGTGTGTTTGTGTGTGTGTGCGCACGCTTGTGAGTATAATTATGGATCTCCCAGTGCTGAGCGAGAAAATTTCTCTTTGGGAAAGCCATCTGCTGAAACAGAACTACACCATTCATCCTGAGTATAATTACCATGCAGGAAAGAACGGAGCGAAAAACTGACATCCAGTAAAAAAAGAAAAGGGAGAGAGGGATAAATGATGCTCAACTGCCAGGGAGTCTATGTCTGGCAACACTTTTCATTGCAAAACTGATAACAACAGTTAATCAAAACAGGGACAGAGAGACAGGGAGAGAGAGTGCATCAGGCAAAGACTTCTGTTATAAAAAACGAGTTAAGATACATTAGGAAAATCAAGTTTCTTTCTCTTTTTGGCATAATGTAGTGAGCTTTTTCCACTAATTACTATTTATTATTCCCAGCTGATTGATTTAATGAAACCAAATTAGTACTATTTTACTACACTGACATGAGGTTTCCATGAAAACAACATATTTTAGTGGGTTTTTTTCCAGCAAAAATGAAACATTAATACAATATTTGAAATAGTGAACATCAAATGGGAAAGTGATCTAACACCATACAAAACAGATTTCATGTTCAAAAACGGATTGTAACTAGCTGACTAAAATCATAATAATAATAAAAAAACAACAGATATGAATTATTCCATCACACAAGAAGCGTACATCTGATAAGTCATAATGTTCTACTTGTTTCATCTCAGTTGGCTTTGCTGGTATTTTTTACAGATAATCAGACAGAATCTCTCTGCCTCACAGGGACATAGGATCTGTTACAACTTCTATAGACAAGCTTTTTTTAGTGACTTTATCGGCACACCACATGTGATTTGGGCTTTTAAATCTACATGATCAAGAGGCAAGGCATTAGGACATAGACTCTAATTCAGACCAAAGGTCTGAAACGTTTAGAGATTTACAATTTGTGACAAAATGCACAAATGCAAGGAACTCACCTTTATAGGACAGTTTTAGCCGGGGGACGTTGTTCTTGGTCTGTTGGGCTCCGCTGCCCTCTATCCTGAGCAGAACCAACCCACACAGCAGCATAATGCTGCCCCAGAGAGAGCCCATGGTCCTGGGGCAATAGAGGCCAGAGAGGTCCTTTAAATACACGCCTCCAGTGCGGTCAGTCTCAGATCTGGTGTGCTAGAAGAAATGTTCCTGTTGTCCAGCGATTATGAATAAATGCTGGTGGGTCAGTCCAGACTGGTTCTCAGCAGGTCTCCCCTGCCAAATCAAAAACCCGCTCCAGGGGTCAAAAGCCAAAATCAGAGTCCAACTCCAGTGGAGACAGAACCTGCAAAGGAGAGTTGGGGGTTACGCGTCAATGTCACTGCAAGATAGCCTCCCACACCAGAAAGTCCAAGGTAAAGTGAACCAAATCAAGCACAAAGACGAGATCTTCACCGTACTAAATACGAGGAAGAGTGAGAGGAGCTGGTTACGACTGCCATAGTTTTCTGTCCTGGTACCTAACGAGCATGCAGCTCTTTCGAAACAGCCATCCACGTTGTCACTGAGTCTCTACCTTTTGCTTAAGAGAGAAAAACAGGTCCAGTTTGTTTCAGCTGTTAATCCAGTTTGCTTCGTGAACACAATCTGCGCTGACTCTCTCTCTCTCCCATTCACACTGATTTTCTGTCTACCGCTCTGTCTACTCAACACTGCTCTGGACTAGTTTAGCGCCACTCAGCGCAGCTCTGCCCTGTCCCCACAGCACAAGACACAGTGCAACTGAGAACAGCTGAGGCAGACAGTATAGTCATAGAGAGAGAGAGAGAGAGAGAGAGAGAGAGAGAGAGAGAGAGAGAGA